ACACCCATCAATCACAGTGACAGATAATCTCTCCTCCTTATCACAACAATACACCCACAACAAAAACACACTGATCCCCATAATCACCCATCTCCTGAAAAGGACAAAAGCTGATTCAACAGCTATAAACACTCCCAAACAAACTGCACCGGAGCACAGAGTGCTGTCCTCTGAAGATGCCGGCCACAGAGACTAGTGAAACATTAGGAAGAACAACCTTTAGAACACGGCCAAAGAGCCTGAAAAACCCACAACAACCAAGGGGAATATACTTGAAAGCAAGTAACAACATCTACTGGGCATGACGATACAGGGCTATAGTCTCCTGTAACAAAAGTCTATTCTTATTTCTGTACAGTAATACTATTTGGAGTTTTTTGCAACCTTGCATGCTGCATTTAGTAGGCTTGGCTAGGAAGGACCTTTCTGGGCTGGGGTGACTGTCAATCCATCCAGCACTAACCAAAAGTTCTCTCTTGCTTCTGAATTCAGAGAGAGCCACGCCACTCTGCTCAGTCCTTTCCCCCTTTCTAGAGTCTCTTGAGGTAAAAGCGAAGCAAATATACCACCCTATAGTGCTTAAAAAGGGATGTGGTGGCACAGGGGTTAAACCGCAGAAGCCCCTGTACTGCAAGGTCAGAAGACCAGCAGTCGTAAGATTGAATCCACCCGACGGAGTGAGCTCCCGTCGCTTGTCCTAGCTCCTGCCAACCTAGCCGCTCGAAAGCATGTAACAATGCAAGTACATAAATAGGTACCACCACCGTGGGAAGGTAACAGTGTTCTGTGTCTAGTTGCGCTGGCCACGTGACCACGGAAACTGTCTATGGACAAACACTGGCTCGATGGCTTGGAAACGGAGGTGAGCACTGTGCCCTAGAGTCGGACATGACTGGACTAAATGTCAAGGGGAACCTTTACCTATAGTGCTTAGGTAGTGACAGATCAGTGACAGATTTTACTTTCTTGGCCTACATGATCACTGCAGATGGTGACAGCAGCCTGCTTCTTGTGAGGAAAGTGATGACAAACCTCTAGGTTTGTCTGCATCTTACAAAGCAGAGACATCACCTTGCCAGCAAAGGTCCACAT